GGATCTAAAGCTTACACAATCTAAGAGTCTCTCAGAAAGAACACAAAACTAGGTACCGAGTCTTGAAAAGTATCGTATAAAAGATCTTGAAACTGAAGCTTCTACGTCTTCCCCGCAATTCCGCTTCTGCCAAAAAATCTGGTCTAATTTCGCTCCACTTCAGGATCTTTCTCGTGCAGTTTGAGCCCAGAAGGCCTTCCCTGTCCCCCGTCCCCCTCCAGCCCCCCCCCACACCCTCCACCCGGGGAGCCTTTTTAGGTTTTCTAGCACAGCCACCGCCGCGACGCTCCCCGGGGTCTCTGGTCGGCGGTGTTTGCTCTCGGCGGGCGGAAGCAGACGGAACCCTGGGAGAGCCGCAAGCCTAACTCCCTCGCCTTTTGCCGCTTTTATTTTAAGTAGCGGAGAGTCCTCCCCGGAACCGGAGAGTGCGCGGCTGCGGTTCCGGTCGGAGTTCCTTGGCGTGCCCCCTGACATGGCTGCGCCCGTAAGGGGTGTTCGGAAGCTGCTGAAGCTCGTGGACTTCACACCGGTCCCGCGGAGATACCGATATAAGAAGAAATGGGTAAGGTCTGGCAGGGGACATTAGAGGGAAACTTAAAACAGCCCTTGTGTTTTCCGTCGTTCACAGTTGCGTCCATTCCAGGGTCCGTAACCTTCTCAAAGCTGTTATCACACCTCGGCCTGCCCTTTTATTAACAAGTCTCCTCTTCCTGTTGCATAAGCAGCCTCCTGACTCCGCCCCTCTATGTTAAGTCATCACCTGCGCTTTCGTTCTTTCGGTGACGTCACATCGCCTCATGTTCCTTTTTTTTTTTTTGCTTACCTTTCCCTTACCTTTCCCACCCCTTCTTTTCCCTTTTATTTCTCCCTCTTTCCCTTCCCCTCCTGTCCCATGACCTCTTCTCCTCCTTTCCTCCTTGAACTTTCAGCCCCTGCCACCTCACCCCTAGCAAAAGCTCATAACAACTACCCCTTCCCTCCTGGGTCTCCGTTGCCCTGCAGTAAAGGATTCAGCCCTGTCCTCTCTCTTGAGGTGCCTTTGCCGTCCAGGAAAGAGTTCAGCGACCACCTTCCCTGTACTACTGGCCTTTCTCCAAATGCAGGCAAAAGGTTCACCATTACATCTCCTTGCTTATCCCAAGGGGTTCCCTCCCCAGCCCCTCAAGCCCCTGTATCCTCTTCCCCACCCCCCACAGAGATGTTCTTTTGAACCCTTTTCTCCACTCCTAGGAAGGCTGTACAGCCAAGAGCCGGCCCATTCATCCCCTCCGAGCCCTTGTTTTGACCGATTCAGCCTTCAGGGGTCACCCTCTCCTGGTCAGCGGAACCTTTATTGCAACTGCATCGGTTCCTCAAGATCTCAGCGTCCATGTCCTCCAAGCCCGTGCTTTTGTTACTGTAGTCCGGTATCTTCCCCACCTCTCATTCATCAGCCCCTCAGAACCAGCCCAGTAACTTCCCCTCAACTTACTCATATATCCTTTGAAACTAGCCCCGTGATTTCGACTCCCCGTGTGCCCGGGTCCCAGGGAAATTACATAATTTCACCCCTTCTTACCCATAGGCCCCTGACACCTGGCCTTATAATTTCTCCTCCCCTTGCTCACCGAACTGTGGAAAATAGACCTCTGCTATCCACACCCATTTCTCACAGAGTTTTGGAAACTGGACCCATGACCTCCCACTGGTCCTCAGGGAGAAGTTACAATGACCTTCCTCTTTCCTCAGCATCTATTCCACCCACTGGCAGCCTTTACCATGACCACCCTAAGCCTCCAGACTCTTGTGAACCTAAACCACAGCTTGATGGATCTCTTGGGAAAAATGGTTGTGGCCCTCCACTTTCTTCTCAGGCAGGCGTGTCTTGCTCTCCAATCTTAACCCAACAGGGCACTTTTCATTATTCCCATCTTTGCTCAGAGTCCCAGATCCCTCCCTCTAGGAGTCCTTACTCTGTCAACCTACCACCTGAGAGTGCTGGTTCTTCTAGCTCATCCCAGCCTCAACCTTGCTTAGAGTCCTTTCTGTCTTGGGAGACTGAGGGGAACTCTTACCTCTTGCTAGCTCCCTGCCCCACAGAAGCACCTCTTCCTCAGTATGCTTGTCCTACCCTGTATTTCCCATCTCCCCTGGGCAACCAGTTTTTAGCTCCACCTCAGTCACCCAGAAGTTATAATGAACCCCCTCTCTCTACCCCAGTTCCCCATCAAGTGAAGTCCCCCAGATCCTCAGATTCACGACGCACTCCCTACAGGTGTCGCTCCCTGGTCAACACGTCCCACCACACCCCTCTTGATCATCCTAAGTCCCATAAGACCAACACCTCCCCTCAGCCTCTCTCCCAGTCCTTTGGCCACTCTTGTCCTCTTATGGAGCCATCCATCACAACTACTTCAAATTCCTTACCAAAAGAACATCCCCCAGAGACTGCTGTGGGTCCAGCAACCCTTAAAACTGTTGCCCCTACTTCCTGTCCCCAGTGCCTGCCTTATAGTCCTCTCTTGCCCAGTAGATATCCCAAGAGCAATCCCCATGGACCACCTCCAGTATCCCCCTGCAATACCCATATGTATTCTGTGGTTCCTCCCACTTCCTATTCATCCCCACTCTCTAGTCCCCTGAACCACTCTACACATCTCCCTCAGGGTCATAACCAGCCTGTGGTCCCCTGTGGCACTTATCCTGCCCCCAGGGGTCCACCACCACCCAATAGCAAGCCCGTGGTGCCTCCTTGTTCTACCCACATCTATTCTTTTATCCCTCTGAGGACACCCTTTGACCCCCGATGTTTACCTGTTGTCCCTCGAGTTCGGCTTTACCCCAATACTATTCCCTGTGGCCTTCATACCTATGCTGTGTCCCCTCCAGGCCCACCCAAAGGTCCCCCCCAGATCCCCTACAGCAGTTCTTTGCCTTCACCCAAGAGCTCCACCTGTAGCACCATTGCCAGTTGTAGTTCAACCTTTATTATTAATGCGTGTCAGAGTAGTGAGAGCCAGAGTAGCCAAAACAGAAGTCCAAGCCAGAGCCAGAACAAGAGTTCCATTAGTAATCAAAGCAAGAGTCCCCAAGGCAGGGGTTCTCATCGGAGCAGAAGTCGGAGCCGAAGTCGGAGCCGGAGCAGTAGTCCTTCCCAAAGCCATACTCAGGACCTTGGCGAGAGTACCCACTTGAGCATCAGTGAGGGCCACATTGGAAAACTGCACCTTAGCAGAAGTCGGAAGGGCAGCAAGAGTCCTCAAGGTGGTAAAAATAAGAGCCAGAGCAAGAGTCCTCACCATAGGAAAAGTCACGGTCGGAGCACGAGTCCCCACAATAAGAAGAAATGATGACCAGAACACACATTCCGACCAGAACGAAAGCCCAGGTTAGAGCAGCAGTTGCAGTAACCAGACTGTCAGTAATAGCATCCCAGTTGCTGCAACCCCGGACCAGCGTGTGGGCTCCGCATCTGAAGACTTCAGTTCTTTTGGAATCTGATTCATGTTCTTCACTGCTAGCCCCATAACAGTCACCCTAGAAGTTTCTGCTTTAGTTCATACCTTAGGATTTTGTGAACGGTCTTTCTTCTGCCTTCCTGGGGTCTGGGAAATCTTCCAGAACACCTCAGCTCTATGATTCTGTGCATTATGTTGCCCATTCACTGCACCGTCTTCGGTAAGTGACTCTCACTGCTCCATCAGATGTGAAAGATGGTTTTATGATTATGTTTGTGCCCTGTTGAGCACATTGCCATAGAGCTCTCATAAGCTAGTAGACACGAACACATTTTTGAGAACAGGATTATAAAGAATAAAAGTGTCTGGGCATGGTGGCACACGCCTTTAATCCCAGCACTGGGAAGGCAGAGGCAGGTGGATTTCTGTGAGTTCAAGCCCAGACTGGTCTGCAGGGCCAGTTCAGAACAGCCAGGGCTGTTACACAGAGAAACCCTGTCTCGAAAAAAGCTTTACGCCTCGAGCTTTCCCGGGGCTTGAGGAAATCGTTTCTTCAAGAGTTTTTCCTTGAGTTACTTCTTAAGTCCCCTCTCTCCTTTTCAGTGCTAGGTATCAAATCTAGGGCATTGCATGTGCTAGGCAAGCACTATCACACATAAATTGAGGTATATTCCAGCTCAAGTCCTCAATCACTCCCCCTCTTTCATTTTTTGAGACTCTTTTTATGTGCTTCTCTCTCTCTCCCTCTCCCTCTCCCTCTCCCTCTCCCTCTCCCTCTCCCTCTCCCTCTCCCTCTCCCTCTCCCTCTCCCTCTCTCTCTCTCTCTCTCTCTCTCTCTCTCTCTCTCTCTCTCTCTGTGTTTGAGATAGTCTTTTGTGTCCTAATTTGTCTTGAACTCTATGTAGCCAAGAATGACCTTCCCTTCTACCTCCTGAGTAGTAGAATAACAGGAGACTTTTATATATTTGTTTGTTTGTTTGTTTGTTTTTGAGACAGGGCTTCTCTGTGTAGTTTTGGTTCCTGTCCTGGATCTCACTCTGTAGACCAGGATGGCCTCGAACTCACAGAGATCCGCCTGACTCTGCCTCCCGAGTGCTGGGATTAAAGGCGTGTGCCACCACCACCCGGCTCAGGAGACTTTTTAAAATGACGTTGATTTATTTATTGGTATGGGTATGGGTGTGTTCATGTGTGCATATATGTGCTGTTTATTTATTTATTGGTATGGGTATGGGTGTGTGCATGTGTGCACATATGTGCTGTTGATTTATTTATTGGTATGGGTGTGGGTGTGTGCATGTGTGCACATATGTGCTGTTTATTTATTATTTATTGGTATGGGTGTGTGCATGTGTGCATGTGTGCACATATGTGCTGTTTATTTATTATTTATTGGTATGGGTGTGTGCATGTGTGCACATATGTGCTGTTTGTTTATTTATTGGTATGGGTGTGGGTGTGTGCATGTGTGCGCATATGTGCTGTGGTATACCTGGGGTGGTCAGACAACAACTTGGGGAAATCAGTTCCTATGGGTCCCAAAGATCAAACTCAGATAGACACATCTAGTGGCAAGAACCTGTGGTGATATGGTGTTCCCCAATATATCATGCACCCTAATAAACTTATCTGGGGTCAGAGAACAGAACAGCCACTAGATATAGAGGCCAGAAAATGGTGGCACTCACACCTTTAATCCTAGCCTTCTGGAGGCAGAGATCCATCTGGATCTCTGTGAGTTCAAAGCCACACTGGAAACAGCCAGGTATGGTGACTCGTGCCTTTAATCCCAGGAAGCGATGGCAGAAAGCAGAAAGTTATATAAGGCGTGAGGACCAGGAACTAGTGTCTGATGAAGCTTTTAGGCTTTTAGCAGCAGTTCAGCTGAGATCCATTTGGATGAGGACACAAAGGCTTCCAGTCTGAGGAAACAGGATCGGCTGAGGAATTGGCAAGGTGAAGTTAGCTGTGACTTGTTCTGTCTCTCTGATCTTCCAGCATTCACCCCAATACCTGGCTCTGGGTTTGTTTTTATGAATAAGAACTTTTAAGATTCGTGCTACAAGAACCTTTCCCCATTCAGCCACCTTGCTAAGAGACTGTTGGTGTGTAACTCAATCTGGCCTCAAATTTGTTTTTGTAGCCCCCAAGGCTCGCTTTGAATTCTGGATCCTCCTGCCTCATCCTGATGAGTGCTGGGATTACAAGTGTGCGCTACTGTGCCTCTTTTTCTTGAAGACCCCTACACAGTTACTATGAGAGGTATTGTGTCCCTTCCCAGTCCTGTGATATGAAGGCTAACTCTTCACTCTCCTAATTCCCAGTTTCTCCTTTGGTAGGCAGAGGCAGGATGCAAAGGTAGGAGAGAGCACTGAATGGATTTGAATTTGCCTTGGGGGTCTGAGTTATTGGTAGATATGTTGGTTAGTTTTATGTCAACTTGACACAAGCTAGAGTTATTTGAAAGGAGGGAATCTCAATTGAGAATGCCTCCATAAGATCTGGCTGTAAGGTGTTTTCTTGATTTTGATTGATGGGGAGGGTCCATCCCATTGTGGGTGGTGCCATTCCTGGGCTGGTAGTCCTAGGTTCTATAAGAAAGCAGGCTGAGCAAGCCATGAGTAAGCAAGCCAGTAAACATCACTCCTCCATGGCCTGTGCATTAGTTCCTGTGGTCCCTGCCCTGTTTGAATTCTTGCCTTGAATTCCCTCAGTGATGGACTGTTACTCAAGATGCCTTGATCCATGGTGTTTCATCACAGCAACAGAAACTCTAGCTAAAACAGTAAAGTCAGACGATAAGACAGAGAGTCAAGATGGAAAGATTAATAAGCTTGCCTTTCTCCTTTAGGCTACCACAGAACCAGAATTCCCTGCCAGTCGACTTGCTCTGCAAAATTTTGACATGACCTACAGTGTACAATTTGGAGATCTGTGGCCATCAATTCGTGTTAGTCTTCTCTCAGAGCAGAAGTATGGTGCATTGGTCAATAATTTTGCTGCTTGGGATAATGTGAGTGCTAAGCTAGAGCAGCTGAGTGCCAAGGACTTTGTGACTGAAGCCATCTCTTGCCAGGAACTGGAGCCTGAGAGTGGCCTCTCTCCAACTCCATCTCCAGACTGCAGTCCAAACCTTCGATGCTTCACTTTTTCCAGAGGGGATGTTAGCCGCTTCCCTCCTGCCAGGTAGGATCTGGAACCATGAGGGTCATCCTGAGTCCCTGCTAGAAGTGGACATGCAGAGTTGCTCAGCTCCTGCCCTCTGTAATACATCTCAGAATTGTTAGTGTTTCTTTCTGGTGTGATTCTGTAGACTGTCTAAGTGCTGTATATGCACCACCTCTTTTTGGTTTGTTGACACCCTTATGGAAATAATATCTGCCCTCTTTTATATTTGAGGTGCAAAGACGTTAAGGAATTGATTCGCTTTTGATCCTTCAGAAAGTAAGTGTAGTTGGTACTCTGAACCCCAGAACCTGCACTGGGAACTTGTGCTCACATACTGCCTTCTGTAGAAAACATATCGGCCTTTCACAAGAACAACTCACTGCATCCTTTCCAGTGAAATTGTGTTTTCCCCCTCCCTGCTGGCCCTGCCAGGCACGGAAAAGTAAGGCAAGAGGAAGTGGACTTTGGTAGGAAATAGGAGTTGTCTGGGAGTGCAAGTGAGTGACAGAGCTGAAGAAAGACAGAACTTTCAGTGTCTTGAGGAGGTACGTATGTGTATGAATTTCAGTGAGGGAAGACTGCACGATTAAGTGCTATATTGTGCTTTAGTCCTTGAGAATAGGAAGCTGGACGTGGTCGTACAAACCTGTAATACCAGCACTTGTTATCTTAAAGCGTGAGGATGGTGGGGTAGAGGCTAGATGGGCTAAACAGCAAGACTCAGTCTCAAAAAACCAAAGACAGAAAAACAAAACAAAAACTGTAGGGCAGGAGGTTCAGGAGTTTGAAGTTGTCACTACCCAAAATAATAATAATAATAAAAAAACCCAAAAAGTCCTGTCTATAATAGCAGATACATTTTCTTTTGCTGACTGTTGGAATCCAGAGCCTGACACACTAGGCAAGCACTCTACTATTTGGCTGCTATAGGTACTCTTATTTCAGATGGAAAAACCTAGGTACAGAGAAGTAGTTTACTGAAAGTCACACAACTAATGAGAAGTGGGTTAGGTTTGAGACTCAAAGTATGGCTGAGAAGTGCAGATTTAACTGTCTTCTAGGATTGTGGCGAGGAGGAGTGAAATTTGGCGTACTAAAACATCTAATACAGAGTCTATAATACAGCATTCATCAATAACCTCTCACAGCCAGGTATGGCAGATTCTGGAGATGGTTTGCCCTTTCACCACAGTCTCTTACCAACCCCTTATCCCGTTGGGCTTCCTATGAACTCCTTATCCTTACCCCGTCATCCCACTGGGCTTCCTATGAAATCAGAGGGGTCTTACTCTCTCAGCAGTCCAGGGAACTTCTGTCAATTTAGGAATAGCCTGATAATATCTGTGACATTGTGTGTCCTTTTTAAAAAAAAAAAAAAAAAAAAATAGAAGAACTGTAGCTTTTAGCAGATTCCCCAAACTGAACCAATTTAAGGAGGGAGGGGAAGAGACTTGATGAGGGGGGCTTTTATGGACTGTTGCTTGTATTTTTGCAGTTCTGTGCCTTCCTCATATTTCTCCGTCCTCTTATTAATTTTTCTTTTTGAGACATGAGGTACAAAAACTCAAGTGTGGTTTGACTTTGAAACTACTCCATGGAAGCCTTAGCCTCTTCGTGAGGACTTGGGAGTGCTGTGACTTGGGGCCTGGGGACTATCGTCGCTGTTGTGGCTGACTGGCATTGGTGTCTCATCACACCCTTCTCCCGAGGTCATTGACTTGTTAGGTTTTCTGGATCTTTGAGTCTGTTCCAAGGCTGCCCATGTGAACTCCATCTTAGGAAGGGGAGTGGCTGCTCACTACCAACTAACTGTCCTCATGGAAACAGGCCTATGAGGCAGGAAGTCCTATGACAGACTGCAATTGATCTTCCCCCCCTTCTACCCATACCATCTCTGCCTACCCAGCTTTCTTAAGCCCCAAACTAGCTAACCAGGTGACTTCCTTAAAAGCCTTTTATAACTTCTTGTCTATATAGTCCAAAATCCTTAATTAGGGTTTAAGACTTTTTGTGTTTGTCTTGCTTTTTAACCCCAATCTTGGGCTTTTTTCCCTTCTTCCTGCCACTAAGGATTAAACGTAAGGCTTCATCCATACTAGACAGGCATTCTACCACTGAGAATGTGGGCATGTCCCCAGTACTCTTTTAAATATTTTTAGTTTTTTTTATGTGTGAGTCTGTGTCCCCATTGTGTGCAGGATTCTGCAGAGCAGAAGTGGGTGTCAGAACCCCTGGAACTGGAGAAGGTTGTGAGCCGCCATGTGGGTGCTGGGAGTTGAACTTAGGTTCTCTGGAAGAGAGGACAGTGCCCTTGACTGCTGAGCTGTCTCTCCAACCCTTCTCCTAAATCTTTTTTTTTTTTTTTCAGAGCTGAGGACCGAACCCAGGGCCTTGCACTTGCTAGGCAAGCGCTCTACCACTGAGCTAAATCCCCAACCCCTAAACCTTAAAGAAGCTTTGAGTTTCTATGCTTTTGCCTAGAGTGTTCTTCCCCTTTTACCTAATGGAGACCTCTGATCTTCTTCAGGCCCAACTCAGGTAGCTCCAGTACATATAACTGACAGCCCTTCTTTCTGAACCTGTGAAGTACTTTGTATCTTGATGTGTAACCCAATAAAATTGGGTTCCTATTATGTGCCAGACACTGTTTCAAGCCTTGGGAATAGTACAGAGAACAAAGAGGACAAAATCTTTGCCTTCCCAGACCTACATCCTAATATGGGGAAATAAAAGAAACACACACACACACACACACACACACACACACACACACACACACACACACTTGTACATTTAAAGTGAGGAACAAGTGCTTTAAAGAAAAATAGTGTAGCTGGAAATAGAAAGTGACAAGACTGAGGCTGTAATTTTAGGTAGACTAGTCGGAAAGCTAGTGCCTCTGAAGAGGTCACTCTGAGGCAGCGCCTGATAGAAGTAGTGATGCACACCGGGGACAGTTAAAGGAAGAGTGTTAAGGGCAGAAGGCATGGTGATTAAAAGGCCTGAGATAGGAGCGCGTGGGGCTCAATGAAGGAATAGCAAGGTGGCTTGTGAGGCCAGTTGCCCCGGCCAGCGGGGTGTCAACGGGGGCGACCCACCTGCGGGAGAGAATGAGAAGGACGGGGGGGGGGGGGGGGGGGGGGGGGGGGGGACGACGACACGACACACGAAAGGACGACAGCAAGACAGTGTGTTCTGATCAAGCTGCAAATTTTATTCTCCTCAGCAAGGCTTATATAGCATGGGAGGGGGAGGGGGCAGGAAGGAGGGAAGGGGTGCACTACATGCAGGTGAGGGGGGGGGCATGCAGGTGAAGGATTACGTGCAAGTCGTGAGGCTGCTAGGTGGTAAGGTCACTGGTCAGGGCCCATTGTTCTGTTGCTATGCTACCTGACCTGCCTGACCTGTTCTTTATCTTTGGGGGTGTCTGGTTTAGGGCAGGGGCTTGTTCTCTGGCCTAGCTAGTACTTTTCCATGGTCCATGTTTGGTCCCTGACAGGCAGTTGGGAGTAAATCAATCTGTTTTCAAAAGGATCACTCAGGGATGGGGATGGAGCTTAGTTGGTAGAATGCTTACCGAGCATGCATAGCACCCTGAGTTTTATCCACATTGTATAAGCCAGGTGTGGTGGCTCAAACCTGTAATTCCACAGTTCATTAGTGGAGCAGGAAGATCTGAAGTTCAGTGTCATTCTCAGCTTCATAGCAAGCTTGAGACCAGCATGGGACACATGAGACCTTGATCTTGTTTCTTAAAAGAAAATCACTATGGATATTATATAGATGAATGAATGAGTACTCTGAATTCTGTATAGATGAATGAATGAGTTTCTGAGAAATAATTTTGCTGAGTGGAGCTTACTGACCCTAAAAGGCATAGACTTGCTCACCTTGGCTCCCAGTAGGTGTGATGGTCTTCTCTCTTCCAGACTTGGCAGCCTGGGTCTCATGGATTACTACCTGATGGATGCTGCCTCCTTGCTACCTGTCCTGGCTCTTGGTCTACAGCCTGGAGACACCGTGCTTGACCTGTGTGCAGCTCCTGGGGGGAAAACGCTGGCATTACTTCAGACGGGCTGTTGCCGTAAGTCAGTGGGATGGTATCTTAGACAGGGTCCCCCACTTCACCCAGTCAGGACACACCGAATGTGATAAGCTTCCTGGCCCCAGGGTCAGATGGATAATAACATTTGCTGAGTTTATTGTCAGTTGGTCAAGAAAAATGGCTGACCAAGGCTTCTGCAGGCAGATTAAGTCAGGACTCTGATAAATGTATCACATGATCCTCTCATCCTTTTGTATTTGCTGATTTGTCTCTAAGATAAAGTCACATTTCTTTGTATTCCTTCCAACACACTCTGCTGCCTTTGCTCATGTTCCATTCTCTAGAATTCCTCCCCCACCCCAGCTGTGTTATCCAAATCCTTTTAGCTTTCAGGCCTCAGTTCAAGTGTGCTACCTCCAGGAAGTCTTCTCACATAGCTGTGCTGGCTTGTTCAGGATGGTTCCTTTTCTGTGCACCCATGCCATGAGTATAACCCGCTAGCACATTACTATTAGTAGCCTTTCCTCAGAGTATTAATGGGTATGTATCTTCTCCCTCCTCAAGATTATAAATTCCATGCTGGGTGTGGTGACACACTCCTTTAGTCCCAGTACTCGGGAGGCAGAAGCAGGTGGATCTATGTGAGTTTGAGGCCAGCCTGGTCAACAGAGCAAGTTCCTGGACAGCCAGGGAAACACAAAGAAACCCTTTCTCAAAACACACACACACACACACACACACACACACACACACACACACACGCGAATTCCTTGGGAACAGGCAGAAGCTTTGTGTGTCTTGGTGTCATAGGTGATGCTGGCATTAATAAGATAGGTGACATTGACATTCATAAATACTCACTTTAGCCAGCCACTGGCCAACATCCTGCCTTAAAGTAGAAGTTCTTTTTCCCTGAGGCCTGAGAGATAGCCATAAGGGGATGTGATTTTCACATCTGACCCAGAGCTTAGCCAGGCCTCTCCCACCATGGGCTTGGGCCTTTCTATTAGGTGTGAACCTCCTGTTCTTGTTACTCCAAAGCTGGCTGGCATTGTTTGAGTTAGCCTCTAGCCTCTTGGTAGGCCCATGAGTGATTTGCTTTCAGCTTTCTGGAAGTTCAGATAGAAAAGATAAAAAAGAAAAGATGTTGGCATGGGTTAAGAAGTGAGTCCAGAGCAAGAGCACCCATGCTGTGCTGTGCTGTGCTGATGTGAGTGCTCTGAGAATCCGTCCGAAGGGAGAAGTGCTTTCAAGGTGTACTATTTAGCAGCACCTCTTCTTCATCCCAGGTACTCACCCAAGTGACTAACTGCTTGACCCCAGAACATAGATAGGGTCACTGAGTATCAGGGCAAGCATGGAACTCAGATTTACTTTGTCAGCCCCCTTGTTTATGCAGGGGAAACTGAGTTCTGAAGGGATTGTGGAACGTAAATCTTTCAAATGTTGGACACAGAAGCAGAACTGGAAGCCCTCTTTCCTTTCTCACTTCGTTTCCTCCTGAAAATTCCTTCAGAACAGAGTGTCTGATTTTTTTATGTTGAGTGCCCTCAACAACTGCGACAGTTCTTATGGGAGCACTAAACCTCTTCCTAGCACCATCCTGCAGTTCTTCATTACAGTTCCCACTTCTTGGTTCTCCTTGCTCTGAAGCTGGCTGTCGGCTGTCATTTATTGTCAAGCCTTTTGGTTTTTTGTTTAAAGACAGGATCCCATTTTTTAGATCTGTCTTCCGGCTCTTGATTCTTTTTCCCATCCTCCCTGGTGCTGGCATTATAGGCTTGTGCCACCAGGCCTGCCTTAACATCACTCTTACAGGAACACTCTTCATATAGTAGAACTAAAAGCTACCTGGTATTTGTTGTGGAATATTATTTTAAGATGTGTTACATTTGTTTATGCTGTGGAACATTTGGTTAATGATGCAAAGATGTGTTGCATTCTTTTATGTTGCCTTTGTTTAACTCTGTGACACAAGCTTTGTTACTGTGCCTGTCTAAAACTCCTGATTGGTCTAATAAAGAACTGAACTGGCTAGCAGGGCAGTGGTGCTGCATAACTTTGATCCCAGCACTCAGGAGGCAGAGACAGGTGGATCCCTGAGTTCAAGGCCAGCCTGGTCTACAGAGGACAGGCCCCAAAGCAACACAGAGAAACTCTGTTCAAAAAACAAAACAAATAAACAAATAAAAAAAGTCCACAAAACTAAATAGCCAATAGTGAGGCAAGAGCAAGGATAGGTGGGGCTGGCAGGCAGAGAGAATAAATAGGAGGAGAAACCTGGGAGAAGAGATCTAGGAGCTAGAGAAGGAGGAGGACCCCAGGGGCCAGTCACCCAGCTGCACAGCAAGCCATGGAGTAAGAAGTAAAGAAAGAAATACAGAAATATAGAAAGGTAAAAGCCCAGAGGCAAAAGGTATATGGGATAATTTAAGAAAAGCTGGTTAGAAATAAGCCAAGCTAAGGCCAGGCATTCATAAGAAAGAATAAGCCTCTGTGTGTGATTTATTTGGGAGCTGGGCGGTAGCCCCCCAAAAGAGCCAAAAGAGTAAAAACAAACAACAACAGATATTTCTTAAATTCATGTTTGTCAGAGAAGTGGTGGGGGCTGGAGAGGTGGCTCAGCAGTTATGAACTTTTGGTTCCCAGCACCCACATCAGGCAGTTTAAAACGCCTCTAACTTCAGCTCTGGGGGACCTGATTTCTGCTTCTGACCTCCACAGGCATGCATTTACACAGATTTATTACACTTAAATAAAAATAAATAGAAAAGAATGTAAGTTAGTAAATTATTAGGTTTGGTTTTATACATAAGATAACTAAATGGCTTAAAGAATAAATATGCCTCTCATACATGAGATACTTGTCTAAAAAGTATCCAGTATCCAGAAAGTCTAGGGATCAGTGTGGAGGCACCAGAGACATCAAGGACTTAAGCTGTTTTTATTTTTGCAGCTTTAGTATAGACATCTTTTCTTGTTTTTTTTTTTTTTGTTTGTTTTTGTTTTTTGGGTTTCTCTTTGTAGTCCTGGCTGTTCTGGAACTCATGCTATAGACCAGGCTGGCCTCCAACTCAGAGATCCGTCTGACTCTGCCTCTGCCTCCTGAGTGCTGGGATTAAAGGCATGTGCCACCATGCCTGGCTTATAGGCATCATTCTTAGGATCAATATCATGGTACAAGAGAGCTACTAGAACTTCAGCCAGCCCATTTCAGTTTGAGGCAGAAGGAAATGATTGTGTTAGCCTTTTACATACATTTTCCCAGAGGTCCCACATGATATTTATGTCTATAATTCACTAACCGAACCTAGTGATTTAGTCATACTTGGTTGTAAAAGAAAACCACAAGATGTACTCTGTTGGTACACATTGTCCTCTGTTGGTAAAGTTGAGGTTCTGTTATTAAGGAATAAGATGATAATAATAAATTCTCAGTGAATAACCTATAGTGTCTACTGAAGCCCAAGAGAGACATATTGTCCTGTTTTGTTTGTTTTTCAACTTGACACAAGCTTGAGTTATCTGGGAAGAGGAACCTCAGTTGAGAAAAGATCTCCATCAGATTACTTAATATGGAGGGCCCAGCCCACTGTGGGTACTACCCTTGGGCGGGTAGTCCTAGGGTACAGAAGAAAGCAAACTGAGCAGGCACATAAGCAGTTCCTACATAGACTCTGCTTCAGTTTCTGCCTCCAGCTAATGCCTTGACTTTCCTCCATGATGGACTCTAAACTGTAAGCTGAAATAAACCCTTTCCTCTCCAAGCTGCTTTTGGTCATGGTGTTTTATCACACAATAGATACCTACCTAAGACAACCAATGTCTCAAAGAGACTGAGTAGCTAGGCACAGTGACATACACATGTAGTCCCAGCTCCTCAAGAAGCTAAGATAGATTTGCTTGAGAAGTTTGAGGACAGTCTAGGCACCATAGCAATAACCTGTGTCAAAATCGAACAATATATCGGCATGGCCAGTGTGTCCCTGTAAACCTAGTATTGAGGCAGGATGATTACAGGTTGACGGCCAGTCTGGGCTACAGAATAAGACCCTGTCACAGAATGAAGGAGTGGGTAGTGGGAGAGACCATATTTCTTTAGAAATACTCTCTTGATCTGCTTTATCTCTTTACTTTTTCGTGGGTATTTGTCCTCATGACCTCAGCTCCAGAGTGACCGATTTGCTGCCACATAGATAATAAATATCCCTGTCTCTGGGGTCTGTGTTGATTGGTTATCCCTGAGAATTGGTTTCATTTTCCATCAACACCTTTTGTCGGTATGATATGCTTTTGAGTTGTAGCCTCTGAACCCTCTTTATTTCCACACAGGCAATCTAGCGGCCAATGATCTCTCCACTTCCCGAATAGGCAGGCTACAGAAGGTCCTTCACAGTTATGTGCCTCAAGAGATCAGGGAAAGGAATCAAGTTCGAGTCACCTCGTGGGATGGCAGGAAGTGGGGAGAACTGGAGGGGGACACCTATGACCGGGTAAGTGATTTCTGACCTTTGTGTTCTGGCCTCAGATCCCGGGAATAGGATCCAGCCCCTGTGTTTTGAATGTGTGGGGCTGTTTTTGGACCTAGACAGTTCCCCATGAGTGATTTGGAGAAAGATCTATTTGCAGAGTTCTCAGTTCAGCTTAGATGACTTGCTACTATTTTCTTTAGAGATAGTTGACAGCAAAAAGAATTTGAACTTAACTGAGTGTGGAAAAAGTTATTAGGCATATTTTATTTCTGAAGTCAGTTGGTTGCTTGGGAGCCCTCATGAAGATGAGTATGAATGAGAACATTTTATTTATTTCTGAATATTAATATAACACATAGTGCAAAATTCAGGAGGTATAAAAGAGTATCAGGTGGGAAATAAGCCTTCTTTTTAGACCTGTACACAGTCATCTACTTCCTGTAATAAAACTGTTGTTTTTATTTTTCTATAGCCTTTATGTGATTTCTATTTGAAAATATAATTGTGCTTTCTTAAAAATAGAAATGGTAGTATGCTGTTTTCATTCTGACATCTATGACTTTTTAATTAATTAGAAAGTTCAGTCCTTTTTAGTTTTATGCTTTTGAAGTAAAATTGCTGGTTAATGGTTTCTATCAGTTAAGATTTGGACAGAGTTTGAGAAATTCTCTGGCGGTCCCTCCAGTCTTGCTTCTGCTGGCATGAGCACGTTTTCTGATCCCATGGTATTGCTGCTGTCTGTTTCTGTCGCACAGTGTCTCTCACGTTCTCCTGTTGTGTATGTTATTGAAACTCCCACCCCCTTTTTTGTTTTCTGTTTTTTGAGACAGGGTTTCTCTGTGTAGCCTTGGCTATCCTGTAACTTGCTCTGTAGTCCAGGCTGGCCTCGAACTCACAAAGACCCACCTGCCTCTGCCTCCCAAGTGCTGGGACTAAAGGCATGCACCACCACTACCCTCTGGCTTTGAAACTCTTAATATTTTAAAGTTATTTCCTTAAAAAAAAAATCCTTTTAGGTTTGTTTGTTTGTTTATTTATTCGAGACAGTGTTTCTCTGTGGTGTTTTGATGCCTGTCCTGGATCTTGCTTTGTAGACCAGGCTGGCCTCGAACTCACAGAGATCTGCCTGGCTCTGCCTCCCGAGTGCTGAGATTAAAGGCATGTGCCACCACCGCCCAGCCGGTTTATTTATTTTTATGTGTATAAGTGTTTAGCCTTCATGTATGTGTGCACCACATGTGGGTCTGTTGGCCTCAGAGATCAGAAGAGGGAGTCAGATTCCCTGGAACTGGAGTTACAGGCAGTTGTGAACCTCCATGCGGATGCTGGGACTTGAACCTGGGTTCTCTACAAAAGCAACAAGTGCTCTTAACCACTGAGCCCTTAGTTATTTTCTTCTTTTAATTAGTATACTCTAAAATCACTTATTTAAAATGTGGTTTATGATCCCTGTATATTGTACACATGTATAAAATGGACAAAGAATATAGCTAGGCAGTGATGGTGCACACCTTTAATCCCAGCACTCAGGAGGCAGAGGGAGGCGGATTTCTGAGTTTAAGGCCAGCCTGGTCTACAGAGTGAATTCCAGGACAGCCAGGGCTACAGAGACAAAAACTTACCTTGAAAAACAGCAGCAGCAACAACCATAACAACAAATCTGTAGATTTCCTGGCCTACGGGTAAGGGCTAGCATTCCGAAAGGCTCCTTGGATTGGAGTCCTGGCTTCATGACTTTTCAGCTGGAAGAATTTGTGAGTCACTTCAACTTTCCTTTGTGCTGTAACTTCTTCAGTGTGGGTCATTGCAGTGCCTGTCCCGCAGGTGACGAAGAACGCCTTTGCACAGGGTCAGACTACAGCAAGCGTTCAGCATCACTACCGTCACTTTCTGTTCACTGGTTCTAGCTATGCCTTGTGGAACAATTGAGATGAATTCCCTCCCGTTTTACTTGACAGTGCTTCAAGCGTTTGAAACAGCTTTGGTGCTTGAAGATATCTTCATTAATTTATTGGTTGAAGAAATAGTAGTGTGCAGTTTGCTGTGTGCTAGGGAAGTGTTAAACACCTTAGATTGGAAGAAGAATGCTACCCCAGGGCTCAACAGACTGTTGGTAACTCCATTCTTCCTCACTTTATATTCACACATCAGTTGGAGAGAGTCCAGCACTCTGCATGTTCGTAGCAGAACAGTCACCCTCCCCTTGCATTCAAGGGTTCCCTCCCTCCCTTCCCAAGTTAAAGTTTTTTTGTTTTTTTTTTTCAAATAATAAAATGTTTATTTGAACATATTTTCCCCCATATTTTTTCATGGGGAAATCATAAACACACTGGAGGTCAAGATTCAGCTAGTTACCATCCTGGCATATGGTTGGTAACCACACATTGGACATTGCCTGATGTGGAGATGCCTATGCCATATCTGATGGTGACCAGCTTTGCCCTTTCCAAGTGTTTCCTAAAAGTAGTACAACAGTACAACTATATCCCTTTTTCCTTTTGACTGGATGAGGCCAACCACTTTCACAGCTGACACTAATAAGCAATATCCAGGATATATTGGTACCAAAATAAAGATATATTTGGTACTGATTTTCTAGTCTTGTTGAAATCACATAGCTCTGTTGTTCATGTGCATGGGGACTCAGGATCCCAACATCTGTGAGTATACCTGTAGTCATTCTCCTGAGTCCAGCCACCTTTTGGAGTAGTAAGAATTTCCACAGCTTTCTCTCCTTCCCCTTCTGCCTGCCCCACTTCCTTTTTAGATAAGGTTTCATGAAGCCTAGGCTGACCTCAAATTAGCTTATGCAGGAAAGGATGACCTTGAACTTCCCATCCTCCTACCTCTGCTTCCTAATGCTAGGATTGTAGGTGGGTACCACCATGCCCTATGCCCTGTTCATTTGTCTTACTCTATATATACTGTGTTAGTTCACCAAAGAATATATCAATATTGAAAACTGGAGTTTTTTGTTTTGGTTTGGTTTTTGGTTTTACAAGACAGGGTTTTTCTGTGTAGCCCTAGCTATCCTGGAACTAGCTCTGTAGACCAGGCTGGCTTCAAACTCAGATATCCACCTGCCTTTGCCTCCCTAGTGCTGGAGATTAAAGGCATGCACACTAATGCCTGGTTTAAAACTGGGTTATTGTTAATTTACTTCATGTTTTCACTTTGCCAAAAAAATCTTTCCAAAGATGATTTTACTTTTTTCAAACATACATATAGGGATGTTTAAAACATTTTTGTTGGGGCTGGGGATTTAGCTCAGTGGTAGAGTGCTTGAAGGCCCTGGGTTCGGTCCTCGGCTCAAAAAAAAAAAAAACCAACCATTTTTGTCTGTCTCAAGTGCCTAGTGTAGAAAAGACTGCAAGTAAATTAATGAGTGATTTTGTATTTCTCACTTTAAAACATTGAAATAATGGAAACCAGGTGTGGTGGTGCATACCTGTAATCCTTTGGGAAGCTGAGGCAGGAGAATTGTGAATTCAAGGCCAGCCTTTGCTACATAGGGAGTTCCAGATTTGCTCAGTTTCAAATAAAACCATATTAAACCAAACTACTGTCCATATTGGATCTACTTTTTTGCAGTAATTTTTAAAGTGTATGTGTGTGTGTGTGTGTGTCTCAGAGGCCATAGCTTCAGATCCCATCAGAACTGGAGTTCCAGGTGATTGTGAGCCGTCTGATAGGATGTAAACTCAGCAGCAGGTGCTCTTAACTCTGGGCCATCTCTCCAGCCCCTCCTCCCCTTTCCCCTTTTTCTTTTTAAAACAGTGCTGGGGATTGAGCCTAGGGACTTGCACATCTGACATGTTTTAAGATAATCTGGGGGGCTGGAGAGATGGCTCAGCGGTTAAGAGCACTGGCTGCTCTTCCAGAGGTCCTGAGTTCAATTCCCAGCAACCATCTATAGTGGGCTCTGATGCTATCTTTTGGCATGAAAGTGTACATGCAGATAGAGCACATGTATACACACACACACACACACACATCTTTTAAAAAGATAATTTTGAATTCTGATTCTGCTTTATTATGTAATATCTGTAAATTAAGTAATGTATCATATATAAGTTGGATGTTTTCAGTAAACAGTCAAGGACAGTGCCTTGAAGCACTAAGATTTTTTTCCTAGGTTGTTATCAGTTATTTAATTACAATTAAATTTATATGCAGGTTTTGTTTTGGAACAGGGTCTCATGAAACCTAGGCTGGCCTCAGACTCATTGTGTAAGCTGAGGCTGGCTGTGATTCCTGGTTGTCCTGCCTTTGACTCTGAAGCGCTGGAATGATAAGTGTGTACTGTCATGTATAGATTTTCATTTCATTTTGTTTTACTTTTTTTTTTTTTTTTTTTTTTTTGGTTTTTGGTTTTTCGAGACAGGGTTTCTCTGTGTAGCTTTGTGCCTTTCCTGGAACTCACTTGGTAGCCCAGGCTGGCCTCGAACTCACAGAGATCCGCCTGGCTCTGCCTCCCGAGTGCTGGGATTAAAGGCGTGAGCCACCACCGCCCGGCTTGTTTTACTTTTTTGAGACAGGGTCTTACTCTGTACCCCTGGATGGCCTGGAAAACTGTAGAGACCAGGTTACCTTCAAACTTGTAGCAGTCCTCTCAAGGGCTAGAATTACAGGCATGTACCACCATGCCTGGCTTGGTTTGGCTTTTTGATTAACCATGAATGTTTCTAAATATACTATTTTTCTACTTATTATTTCACAGTTGTCTATCAGGTCAAAATGAGAATCCTTGTCAGGTACTCTGCAATGGAGGGATGGGTAAAGCTAGCATTTCCATTGAACTTTGTTGGCTTGGGCCCTAAACTGCTCTGACTTAAGTCAGAAGAACCTGGAAGGAGCTTTAATACTTTATCTCTTGACATTCTGGGTAGGTGTTGGTAGATGTGCCGTGTACCACAGACCGCCACTCCCTTCATGAGGAAGAGAACAACATCTTCCAGCGCTCAAGGAAGAGGGAGCGACAGATGTTGCCTATGCTGCAGGCACAGCTTCTCGCGTGAGTGATACAGTTATAGATTCTCAGACTTTACTGGAAGCATGCCAAGACCAGCACATAGAAGAATCTTTTGGTTGGAGATTTGCCTGGAGGCTTCATGAGATTGTCCTTTCTAGAATAATAACTCACCATTTTACCAAACAGTGCCAGTGACTTGCACATTTTTGAAAAGCAGATTCTGACAGATATAGTGGTATATATCTGTATCCCTGTTATTTAGGAAGCTGAGGCAAAAGGATAGCTTGACCTGAGAGTCTAGGTCATCCTAGGTGCTAACCTGGGTGACATAGTGAGACCCTTTCTCAGAGAAAGAAAGAAAGACTAGAGAGATGGCTCAGCAGTTAAGAGCATGTCTGCTCTTGCAGAAGACCCAAGTTTGATTCCCAGCACCCACATGGCTGCTCACAACCATCTGTAACTCTACTACCAGGGGATCCAATGCCTCTTCTGACCTTCATGGGCTCCTGCACACATGTAGTACATATTCATACAGTCAGGCACACGCATACACATAAAATAAAATAAGTAATAAGTATTTTTAAAGAAAAGAACTATTACATTTATTTATTTAAAAAAAAGAGAGAGGGAGAGAACTGCCAGGTGGTGGTGGAGCACACCTTTAATCCCAGCACTCAGGAGGCAGAGTCAGGCGGATCTCTGAGTTCAAGTCCAATCTGGTCTACAGAGTAAATTCTAGAACAGCCAGGGCTGTTATATAGAGAAACCCTGTCTCAAAACACACACACACACACACACACACACACACAGGGGCCAGACATGGCACACATCTTTAACCCCAGCACTCAGGAGGCAGAGGCAGGAGGATCTCTGTGAGTTTGAGGCCAGCCTGGTCTACAAAGTGAGTTCTAGGTCAGCCAAAGTTACACAATGAGATCTTAGAAAACGAAAAAGATAGGGGGGTTGGAGATTTAGCTCAGTGGTAGAGTGCTTGCCTAGCAAGCTCATAGGCCCTGGAAAAAAAAGATAGGAAGAAGAGAAAGAAAAGGGGAGGTAAAAAAGAGGGGGGCGGGGTGCCTAGGGGCCGAGGGTCTGTATGACTGAGGAGAGAATTCAACTGATAGCCAGCATCAAGGTTTCGTTCATAACCAGAGTCAGGCTTCAAAGGATCATTCTTCTTTTTACTTTTTATTTTTTTGGTTTTTTGAGACAGCATTTCTCTGTGTAGCTTTGGAGCCTGTCCTGGAACTGGCACTGTAGACCAGGCTGGCCTCAAACTCACAGAGATCCGCCTGCCTCTGCCTCCCGAGTGCTGGGATTAAAGGCGTGCGCCACCACCGAAGGGCTAAGATCATTCTTTTTTGTTTTTTAAGGTTTATTTTTATTATTTTTAATTACGTATGTGCATGTGTATCTTCATGTAGGTATGTGCACATAAGTATAGATGCCCATGCAGGTCAAAGATCTTGGATCCTCCTGGACTTGGAGTTATAGAAAATGGTGACCTGGGTGCTGGGTACCGAACTTCGGACCTCCACAAGAGCAGTATGTGCTCTTTACCACCAAGCCATCTCTCCAGCCCCATCAAAGGATTCTTCTATGAAGGCTTTCTAGAGCTGGGTATGGTGGTACTACTCCATCAGGCAGTAGACTGCCTACCCACGGTCCTAGCCCCGTTGCTCTCACACTTCCGAGAAGTATACTAGTTACTGCTTTTTTTTTTTTCTTTCTTGGTTTCAGGGCTGGACTCCTTGCCACCAGACCAGGAGGCCATGTTGTCTACTCCACTTGCTCACTGTCACACTTACAGAATGAGTATGTGGTGCAAGGTGCCATTGAGCTTCTGGCCAATCAATACAGCATCAAGGTTCAAGTGGAAGACCTGTCTCATTTCCGAAAGCTTTTCATGGACACATTCTGTTTCTTCCCTTCCTGCCAGGTTGGGGAGCTGGTAATACCAAACCTCATGGCCAATTTTGGGCCTATGTACTTCTGCAAAATGCAAAGGCTGCCATAGTGTCACCCTGTCCCTGAAGTAGGAAGACAATGACTTTGTTGGAGGCATTGAAACAGACCAGTGGCAGAGATGCACTCCAAGGCCTGTCTCCATCCTGTGTGTTTTCTAAAGATAGTTGTAAACAGTAAGCAGTAGGACTGATGCCCAGTTGTGGATTATCAGCAGGTTTCTAACTCAGACCCTTACTTCTGCCCTTTAGCCTATATATACTAAGGCCCCTGCTCCATTAGGGATTTAGACAGAATCAGTGAGTAAGCCCATAGTTTAAGCTGTAAACGTCAGAAGAAACATTCAGCCAATAAAGTTATTGAAGTGCTATAGAGCTGGGCCTGTAGTTGGGGACTTCATGTCAATCTAAGTTCCATTATGATTTTCTGTGTGTCAGCCAAAGCTGCCGAGAACACTCTCCAAAGTGCCCAACCCCGACTGACATACAGCGCTCTCCCACTGGTGAGTTCCATTTAATCAGCCCACAGTTCCACCAGCCTTCCTAGTGTCTCCATATGGCACATGTTCTAATTTAAGGAATAAGTAACTAAAACTGTTGAGCCCGTGGCTGGTAATCCTCTTACACTGAGAAAGGTTTCCTGAGCTGAATGCTTCTGGCCTTCCTTCAGATGTGACTGCAAAAGCTGCTTCTGGTACATACTGTTTTTGTATGTTTCTTTTATGTCCTTGCATAACAGCAAGTATTCTGTGCTTTCCTGTATGACATCTGGTAGGGATATGCTTGGGACTATGGGAAATGACTGGGTTTCCTCATCTTCAAAGTGGCAGCCTATTTCCTTTTACTTTCCAAGTACCTAGGAATCTGATATTTTATTTCAAATGTCTTGTTTTTATTTCTAGTCTGTGCCAGCTCTGGTACCTGTTTTGGCCCATCTCCAAATCCTTCTCCCAGCAAAGCAGGATTTTGCCTCACACAGTGTTTTAGGGTGACATTATGTAACATGCAGACTTGCATACTAGTTATTTTTTAGCATTTGTCAAAAGAAGGCAACCTTTAGTGCCAGGGGATAGTAAACATTGCTTATGGTCACCCATGCACACACACATATATGTGTATATATACTTCGTGAATAACTTGAATATTTTTTGGCTCTTCCCACTTTCATTTTTTCTATGGTTTTTTTTGAGACAGGGTTTCACTGTGTAGCCCTGGTTGTCCTGGAACTCCCTTTGTAGACCAGGTTGGTCTTGAACTCAGAGATCCTCGTGTCTGCCTCCCGAGTGCTGGGATTAAAGGCATGCACTACCACCACCTGGCTTGGAAACTCTTAATATTCTAAAGGTATTTCCTTTTAAAAAAAATTCTTTTAGACTTATTAGCTATCTTCCAACTTTATTTACTGGCTATCTCCCCACTTTTCTTATCCCTCCTTTATTGCCATTCTTTTGGTTTTTCATGCTTTCCCTGCTAATCCGTATTTGGGTGTTAGAAGTATCCATTGAGAAGGACATTAGCAAAGAGTAAGCCATTTCCTTTCTTGAGATTTGTATTATAACTGAGGACCCTGGAAGACCTTTCAGACTTTAAATCAAGTGAAGCCAGTAAGATGGAACTCCAGAGAACTTGGTTCCCAGAGGAGGACCCTTACCAGCTTCTGTTCACGGTATATAGTCCCTGCCTGCTGTTTACTTTGTACTTACATTGCTGAAGCTGAGAGACGTTTGTGCCTGGGTTTCTGCCCATAGGCTCTTGGATATCTGCCTGGTGCTAATTGAAAGCTAAGCAGTAATCATTGAGGAGGAGAGGGTCTGCTGGCCCTTGGATCACAGTCTAATTAGGACAGACAGATTAGGTAAGAAAAACAGAGAACTGCCGTATTAGGCAGGGTTTTCTAAAGGAACAGAACTAATAGCATGTGTATGCAGACACACATATATATGCACGTATGTGTATATGTTATAAAGGGGATTTATTGGATTGGATAGAGGCTGGGTAGTCCACCAATAGCCGTCTGCACACTGAAGAGGCAGAGAATGAGGTTCCCAAGGATACCTGAGTAGTCTCAATACAACACTGAAGTTTGGAAGTTTCCTGGAAAGTTGCGGTATTCAATGAATCAGTATTGAAGAGCTGAAGAATTAGTCTGATGTCAGTGGGCATCAGTAGCAGTAGGTGGTATCACTTGGAGCAGAAAGAGACTTGCTGGCTGGAGGGCTGCCTTCTCCATACTTACCTTCATCATCTGGGCAGTTTGCCCTTTTGAGGGTCCCACTGTATTGAGAGTGGATCTTTTCCTCTCTGGTCACTGTCCCATGGGCCAGTCCTCTCTGGAAACATTTCTGTAGACATACAGATGTATTTCCTCAGTCCAAGGTTGTCTCCTATAATTGAACATATACTGCCCTCTAACTCAGTTACTACAGTGCTAAGGATCAATTCAAGAGAAACTCATACATGCATGTCAGTGCACCTGTGAAGGGTATCATAGCAGTCCTGCTCACAAGCAAAAGCCTGGACATAGTCCATGTGTCTCTGAGCAAGAAAGGGGATGAATAAACTGGATATTCATACAATGGAACATAAGATATATGATCTTATTTATATTACCAATTGCAATCCATCAGTGTGCTATTTAGTGAGTATTTAATAATAAAGCCACAATCACCGAGAGACATTGAAAATAATCCTAGGACTGGAGAGATGGCTCAGAGGATAGGATCCCTGGCTGTTCTTCCAGAGGTCCTGAGTTCAATTCCCAGCAACCACATGGTGGCTCACAACCATCTGTAATAAAATCTGATGCCCTCTTCTGGCCTGCAGGGATACATGCAGGCAGAACACTGTATATGTAATAAATAAATAAATCTTAAAAAAAAGAAAAAAGAAAAAATAATTCTATCCTTAAAAGTTAACTTCTGACTAGACAGTGGTGGTGCACACCTTTAGTCCCAGCACTCGGGAGGCAGAGGCAGCTTGATCTTTGAGTTCAAGGCCAGCCTGGTCTACAGAGCGAGTTCTAGGCCAGCCAGGGCTACACAGAGAAACCCTGTCTTGAGAAACAAACAAAAAAAGTTACCTTCTGGCTGGGCAGTGGTGGCACACTCCTTTAATTCCAGCACTCAGAAGGCAGAATCAGGCGGATCTCTGTGAGTTCAAGGCCAGCCTGGTCTACAGAGTGAGATCCAGGACAGGCACCAAAACTACACAGAGAAACCCTGTTTCAAAAAAAAAAAAGTTACCTTCTGGTTTTGGCTTTCAATCACTTCTTTTGTTTCTAGTCTCAGAAAATGCCTGGTCTGCCTTCTATCACTATGGTTGGAAGATGGAGTTGATTTAAAACTAGATGTCCTGCAAAAGTTTTATCTTTATATTTGGGGACCACTAGATTTTTGGTATGTTGCTTTTGAACAAGATAAAGGCATTAGGATCTAAAGATCTAAAGATCCCCTAGTGACCCCAGGATCTTTACTGTGGGTTTGCAACTGGTCTAACTGGTTAGGTGTTTTTGGCTTAATTACATGTTTAGGGTATCTTTAAAACCCTCCTGAGAACTTCTCATTTGAACTTTCCCAAAGCCAGGATTCAACCACAGCAAAAATCCTTGATGATGTGTGGTGCACGCCTGTAGTCCTAGCACTTGGTGGGTAAAGGCAGGAATATCAGGAGTTCAAGGTCATCCTTAATTCAAGTAAATTCCAGTCCTGCCTGGGCTGCATGAGACCCTGTCTCAAAGAACCAAAAACCAAACCAAGCTGGATGGTGGTGGCGCATGCCTTTGATCCCAGTACTTAGGAGGCAGAGGCAGGTGGATCTCTCTGAGTTCAGGGCCAGCCTGGTCTACAGAGCTAGTTCCAGGACAGCCAGGGCTACATAGAGAAACCTTGTCTTAAAAAACAAAGCAAAACAAAACATCTTCCAATCAATAAATGGGCAAATCAAAATAAACAATGTAAATGATTTATATATTTTTTTTTGTTTTGTTTTTTTGTTTTTCGAGACAGGGTTTCTCTGTGTAGCTTTGCGCCTTTCCTGGAACTCACTTGGTAGCCCAGGCTGGCCTCGAACTCACAGAGATCCGCCTGGCTCTGCCTCCCGAGTGCTGGGATTAAAGGCGTGCGCCACCACCGCCCGGCGATTTATATATTTTTTAAATGTCCAATATCCTTAGCCATCAGGGGAATGCTAATTTAAACCATATTAAGTGATATATATATATAATATATATATATGTATAATTTTAAAAATAAAGGAAAAACAGACTAAGCAGTTGGTGATGTCACATGCCTTTGATGCCAGCACTCAGGAGGTAGAGGCAGGCAGAAGTTCAGGACCAGCCTGGGCTACAGAGTGAGACCCTGTTTTATCACCATCACCACCACCACCAAAAAAAAAAAAAAGGTCAAAGGTCATCAGATCCTCTGGAGCCGGAGTTACAGACAGCTGTGAGCTGCCGCGAGTAAGTGCTGAGAACAGAACCAGGTCCTCTGGAAAAGGGGTCAGTACTATTAACCACTGAACCATTGTTCCAGCCTGGGCTACCTTTGGATTAGCTGTGTAGCTGAGGATGCCTTTGCCTCTCTGGTGCTGAGGATACAGGTATGCACACCATGACTCACTTTCCATGTCTGGATCTTCATGTTTCCCCTCAACATTTCAGTTTCAGTTCCTATATCAAAGTCTTGGATTCTTTCCGAATTGATTTGTATACAGAATGAGAGAGGGATCTAGTTTCATTCTCCTATATATGCATATCCATTTTCCCAGCACCATTTTTTGAGGATGCCATCTTTTATGCAATGTGTATTTTTTTTTTTTTTTTTTGGTTTTTCGAGACAGGGTTTCTCTGTGTAGCTTTGCGCCTTTCCTGGTACTCGCTTTGGAGACCAGGCTGGCCTCGAACTCACAGAGATCCACCTGGCTCTGCCTCCCGAGTGCTGGGATTAAAGGCGTGCGCCACCACCGCCCGGCGCAATGTGTATTTTTTTAAAACAGGTCTTTCTTTGGACTGCCAGCTCCCAAATAATGACACCGAGACTTCTTATTAAGTATGAAAACTTGGCCTTAGCTTAGGCTTGTTCCCAACTAGCTCTTCAAACTTAAATTAACCCGTTTATATTAATTTATGTTCTGCCTGGCTTTTTACCTCTCCTCAGTACCATCCAAATCTGACTGGGAAATCTCCCAAACCTCAGATTCTTTCCCAGAGTTCCTAGCTCTCCCTGAAAGTCCCGCCTATCCTTTTCTGCCTAGTTATTGGCTGTTGAGCTCTTTATTAAACCAATCAAAAGGTACCTTAGGCAGATGAGGTTAAACAGACACATCTTCACACAGTGTAAAAAAGTTTATCCCAACATATTTTTGACAGTCTTTAT